GGAGATGAAGATTTCAGTCCCGGTGAAGACGATTTAACTGATGAGACCTCGAAAACCGAATCGGACAGATCAATTAATGAGGAAAGCGAACAAGAATTCACTGAAGAACACCCCTTTCCAAATGAAGGCCTCCACGTATATCGCGAGATGGGTGAGTGGGACCCGTCATGTGTAGACAGGGACGAGTATGCCTTGCCACTCTGGAATGAGCATGTCGAAACTATCCGTTTGGGTACAGTTTTTCGTACCAAGGAAGAAGCTCAGACTGGTGTTATGGCATGGAATGTTGAGAATCTTAGGGCGGTCCGAACAAAAGATTCCAACAAGAAGTCGTTCAAAGTTGTGTGCAGATCGGCTGAAGGTGTACCATGTATGTGGAAGGCTCGGGTGAGTCTTAATCCACGGGTGCACGACATGTGGGAGGTAACCGAATGGACCGACAAGCACACTTGCATGCAGGTAGTCGAGAGAAATGACCACAAGAATGTGACGGCCACCATGATCTCAAATCTTCTGTTGCCTAAGATTCAGAAGCAGGTGACCTACAGTGTGGAAATGGTCCAGGCCGACGTAAAAAGTGCCTGGAGCGTCGATGTGAGCTACAAGAAGGCGTGGCACGGGAGAAAAAAAGCCATCGATCGTCTGTATGGCACGTGGGAATCGAACTTCGCACAACTCCCCCAGTAAGCAAAAATTAATTACCAATGTATTTACGTGTTTGTAACTATATTTATTTATTTATGCGTACCTTTTTATAATTTTCAGGTTTTTTGCTGCCCTTCAAAGGGCGAATCCCGACACAGTCGTTGAGTGGGAATGGCAGGATGGGAAAATGGCTCGTTGTTCTCGAGACAGAGAATTTAAATTTGTCTTCTGGGCGTTCGGGCCCGCCATTCGAACCTTCCATCTTTGCCCGCCGATTATTAGCATTGACGGCACGCACCTGCGAGGTTTGTACAAGGGGAATGTACTTGTTAATTGCAAATGTAATTTTTATTTGCTAACATACAATAGTGTCTGATAAAAAAAACATATGTCAAACTGAGCAGGTTCGTACAAGGGGAAGCTGCTTGTTGCCATAGCACAGACCGCGAATAAGCGTCTATTGTCAGTCGCGTATGCGATTGTGGACGAAGAAAGCACGGCTAGTTGGTCCTTTTTCCTAACACATCTGTGCAATCATGTCCTCTCCGACAGACAGATATGTCTTCTTTCCGACAGGGACAACGGCATATTGAGTGCCGTTGATTTACTGGAGGCTTGGCACGAACCCCATGCATTTCATCGGATATGCTTTCGACACCTCCAGAGCAACGTGGTTTCAAGGTATCGAGTAAGAAAGTTCGGGTTCTGTGCTTGAGGTTGGGTTCATTGTGTTCTCGTCGCAAATTTGAGCATGCTCGACAGCAACTGCAGGAATGCTCGCCGGTACAATGTACAACCCGGTCCGATTGACGGGTCACTTCTGTATCTTCATACCCGCCACCGGGACAAGGCTGTATATGACGATGAACCAGGCTACCGTAACAGCATCATTACAAACCGCCAAAACGATAGTGAGTTCTGGCCCGCATTGGAGAAGCAGCATAATAAAGTTTGGGAGCAAATCGACATGGCAGGCTTTGGCCCGGTGTTTCGGATGGGCCGGGTAACAACGGACAACAGCCTCATCACCTGCCTCGTGGAAAGGTGGCGTCCCGAGACGCATACCTTCCACTTCGATTGTGGGGAGGCCACAATAACGCTGCAGGACGTTCAAATCCTATTTGGCCTTCCGGCCAATGGAGAAGCTTGTTGGGGACGGACTGCGGATACGACTCCCCAGAAATGGCAAGACATGTGTGTTGACTTGCTAGGGTTTCGCCCCAATGTCCAGGTATATATTCTATCTCAAATAGTATTTACAATTTCATATATTTTATTCGAATTCAATAAAAAAATTTCAACTATTTTAATTTATGCATAAATGTATTATTTTCTATCTTTAAGAAATATGAAACTATTTAATTATATTTAATTATTATTTTTTATCTCTAATTTGCTCATTTTTTTATTTTTTATTTTTAAAAACCAATTCCAGGATAGAGGTGACCCGGCGTACGAGCCCAAGACTTGGCCCATTAAAGGCCAATTCTTGAATGTCGGCCCATTAGAGGCTGAATGCAAACGAGAGCTCTCAGATGGAGAAGACGTCGAGGTCTACGAACGAAAGGCGAGGGCCCTTATACTCTGGTGCATAGGCTCGTTCTTCTTCCCCGACCAGCGGGCGAACGGAGTCAACCTGTACTGGTTGGATATGCTGCACGACATTGATAAAATCAAGGGGTACAGTTGGGGTGCAGCGGTCCTCGCCGATTGTATAGAGCGTTGTGCACAGCCTTCGAGGCCGGGCTAGGCAGGATGAAGGGCTGTGTGCAATTGCTTCAGGTACATTTATTTTAGATGTTATTTAAAACTTTATTTTTTTTATTCTGACTAATATCTAATACAAAAAATGCATATGTAGGTCGATATGTGTAGGTTTGGGCATGGGAACGCATCCCTCGCATTCGCCCTACAATGAAGTCCACGCGCTTTCATTCTGTACCTGTTTGTCCCTTAGGAGCAAGGTATGAACATTTATTTATATTTAATAAATATTAAGTTTTTTCATTATTAAATTTTGAAATTACAAACTTATTTTTTTGTGATCTTTAAGGTGGGTGGGAAGAAAGAACTTGACGCAAATAGCCAAGGAAACAGCCGCTATCCAGGATCAGCTGGCATGACTGAGAGAGACGGATGTAAGATTCTTAAGTTTTATATATTAACTTATATTTTGTTTTTTATTGTTATTAAATATTTACTAACTTAATTCTTAGTAATTCTTTTTTTTTTCTTTTTTTTTCTTTTTCTTTTTCAGTTCGATTGGATGCCTTATGTCTAGTTCCTCGAGGATTCGTCTACTCTCCCGGACCAGTGTACAGAATATCAACATGTTTGGATGTACAAGGGGCCCATCTTCTGTTGGAACATCTGTGAGCCCCACGAGCCTGATAGGGTCCTCCGTCAGTTTGGATGTCGCCAGTCCATCCCTCCAGCTCCGTTCACTAGGGATGTGGCCCGATGGGAGACACTCCACCGAGGTCAGGGAATGACTGAGAGGGCATATACTGATTGGGCCGTCTTTTATTCGGAGCTTGGGAAGACTTGGGCCGAACATAGTGATCAAAATGTCCTCACACATCAACCGGTGGAGCAGTTCCTAGAGACTGAGGAGGGTTACATTGATTGGTTTCACAGGAGGTGATGGGTCTCTTCTCAGATCTGGAACGACCCGATGAGAAAACGTTCGGATCTGGGATGAACCGGTATGAATGAGCTCAGATCTGATTCGACGGCCTTCAAACCGTTGTTGAGCCGCGAGAACACCTGCAAGAACTCAACGCTGGAGGGATTTCCGGCGTAGAGCCTCCGAAGCTCAAGTCAGTATATGAAAAGAGTAAAAAGAGCTGCTCTGAGGAAGCAGCAGCAATGAGGGAGAATGTGGAATGAATGGGAGTTAGGGTTTTGGGACTACCTCTGTCCTTTATATAGAAATGCAACATTTACCTGAAGTCCCCAAAGTGCCCCGGCCGACTTACTGGAAATGTCCAAAATACCCTGGTCGGTTCGTATTCTGCCCACTTCCTAGTCAACATCTAGATCCTTCCTTAGCTTTCTTCTTATCCTTAACTTTCCCTTAATACGCTGAGGTGTATCAAAGCTGTCGAGAACTATGAACTGCAAGATCCCTTCAGTCGACCTGAGATATCGACTCGAGTCGACTGGATCGTATTCAATCACTAGTGGTTCCTGATACGTCTGACCATCGTCTTGGCAGAAGTCGACTTATGTTAGTCGACATGTGTATGTCGACTCAGACGAGAGCCGGGATCCTTGACCGTAAGTATCATGAAGAGCCTTATTGGCGGAGTCGACTTTATTAAAGTCGACTTGATAATTTCTGAACCGTGATGATACGGACCGTTATGAGCCAGTGTGGCTATATCATCTAGTCCCCCCCAAAAATTACTCGAAGCGATTCTGAGCTTAAGAGTAAGTTCTGGGCGGTCGAATGTCTTCCTCGAGTCTTTTCTCATATTCTGTCGCCTGTCGTTGCCCTAAATTGTACCCGGTTGTTTCTGCGACTTGCGAAGTGATGTTTACCCAATTGTATTTCGAATTGATTGGATAAGTCTGGATCTTTTCAAATTTCAAAATTCAAAAGATAACACTCTCTCTCTCCACCGCTTCGTATTCTGTGCACCATCTTAGCCGTCGAAAATGACTTTAATCTGAGGGCTAGGGTTTCTCTGCCTTCTCTATAAATAATCCTCCCCTTTTCTCGTCCCTACTTTTCGCACTCACCTTCTCTGAGCTTTCTGTTTTCTCCGGCAAACACAGCTTTCCGGCGCTCTTACTTTTCGGCGCCCTTCTCCAATTTTCCAGGACTTTCCGTCAACCATCATGAGTATGAGTAAGTTTTCTTTGCCTGTTCGACTTGTTTTCGTGTTTTGAGATAAGAACGCTATTTATTTTTCTGGGTAAATTGTCTGGAAATAAGAACATCTTTTATTTTTTGGGAATTGCATGTGAATCTTCTACCGATTTTCCTGTTAGATCCCTGATTGTAGGTTTTTCATCTCTTCAAGTGTTCTCCTTTGTTAGTCGTCTTGTTATGAGAGATCGACTCTTTTCCTTTCCTGACTTGACCTTCATTTGTCAAGTCGAATCGATATGGGGGATACTTTTCTTGTTTCTTCTCCCTTTCTTCCCGTTGTCGAGACGCTTCTCGTGCTATCCTGGTTATTTTATTGACCCTTATCTTTTTGAATCGAATCACGGTTTCTAATAACTTTTCTTGATTGCCGTTCTCTTTTTCTTCTTAGATTCCAATCTCGACCCTGTTTCTGACCCCGTCTCCGGTTCTCTTGCCCGTGAAATCGATAACTATTCGGGTTCGGACTCTGTTCACCCAAACGATGTTGAGCCATGTTCTCGTCGAAACGTCGAGCCGGAGGACTTTGTCCATTCACATGCCTCACCTTTCGGTATCGATTGGGTTGTGTACAATCAGGCGTTGCTTTCGGGCACACTTTGTGAGGATCCCGAAGTTCTCCAAGCCCTTGAATCCTCTTACCCCGACTTGACTCCTCGAGGTACTTTCCGCTAGATTCTTTCGGACATCCTCATATACGCGGCCAGCCTTGTTCCTTTACTTGATAATGACTTCCCTTAATCGAGTCTGCAACTATAGCATGTTCCGTGGTAAAGTTCTTACAATCGTTTTCTTATGCTCCTACAGCCGAAATCGATGGCTTCAGAGAGTTCAGCGGCCTTTCCTCGGATTGGGCTGTAGTTGCTCCTAAACCCGAAGACGACTTCCGTCGCCCTCCCAAGGGTTGTTTTACTTTTTTCGTAGATCAAATAATGTCGGGCCTGCGTTTCCCGATTCAACCTGAGCTGCAATCGTTAAGTAACCTTTTCGATATACCAATAAACCAGTTCACCCCCAATTCTATTCGAATAATGGTAGCCTTCATAGTTGTTACCCGCATAGTTTTAGGTAATTTTCTACCCGAGTTTTTCCTTTACTGTTACGGGTATAGGTTTAGCAAGGACGCCCATTGTCTGGGCCGTCGAGTAGGTGTTACTTTCCTTGACGACCTCTCTTCCAACATTACCGAATGGAAAAAGAAGTACTTCTTCATTCGACCTGCTCCTGGCCAATATCCCTTTTCGAATGAGTGGATTACCAACAAGACAAAGCAGCGTAAGTGTCCCGACTCTTCACAATTCGCTGATATGCTAGAAGAGTTAAACAGACACGTATGGAGCGCTCGTCGGCTTACCAAAGATACCTCTTTACTTAATCATGTTGGTATTTGTGTTGATAAAAGTGCTCCTCGTCTTAACGATCCTTGTAAGC